GGGGGGGGGGGAGTGGTACACACAGGCAAACACTTGGGAAATGCAGCCTCTAGGAGTCTACAGCCTCGTGGGCTTCTGTCCCTTCAAGAGCCTTTCCTCAATCATCACCCATGGCCAGGGCTGGGCCGTGCAGTGTTTCTATCCAGGGACTCATCATCCCCAAGGACCACAGTCCTAACCTGGCTCAGCACCCATGGTGTTAACTCCAGGTGTTCTCCACGTGCCACCTGGAATGCTCCCTCTTCTTGGGTCTAACTCCTTGTGCTTTGGACTCAACTTAGCCCTCACCTCCTGGGGTGACCTCTAGGAGGTTCAGTGCCTCCTCCCAGCTCCTGCAGCCCCCAGTGCTTCCTCCTGTTGTGGCATTTATCAACTTACACGTGTGCCTTCCCAACCAAGTGCAAACTCTGTGAGGGACAGTGCCCCAGCCAGCACAGAAGACAGGCCCAGTTTGTTAAATGAATGAACCATAAATGCTACAGAAAGGGTAGAATTCAGCCGTCACACGTGGCAGTCAGTAGCAGCTATTCTTACCGTTGAGAGAGGGATATATAATGTAGGACGCGTAGTAATTGAAGATGGATTCCAGCAACTGCACCTGGAACAGGAGGGGCCCAAGCAAAAGGATCAAATGAGTCCAAGAAAAGAGCATCTGCCCCCACCTCTGGACACATTCCGTTTACAAAATAGAGGCTGACTGTCCTGTCAGCACCACAGATAAACAGCTCCCTGTTCACAGTCCCCCCCAAACTCCAAGTCTCTGAACTTCATTCTCCATAACTGCATGCGAGCTCATTTTAAGGCAAAATGACCACAACTGTCACAGGGCTGTCTACTTTGTGTGAATATTTTAAAAATTTGGTGGCAGAAATAGTAATGGGTTTGATTATAGAGTGCTGCCCTAGATCCTGCTGGAATTGTTATATAATGTGGTACATGCCCCCATATTATCTCAAAAAATCTCAATTTTGAAAACCATCAGGGATTGTGGATGTGGGCTACTATTATTACAATAATGAACATATGTTGAAAGCTTATTATGTGAGACATTTTATAAAAGTGTCTTACTGAATTCATTGCCCCATTTTATATTACAGCCCCCATTTGAGGTAGACGCTATTATTCCCATTTTACAGACAGGGAAACTGAGGCTTAGAAAGGGTGACTGATTTGCTAAGTTCACACAGCTAGCAAGTGGCAGAGCTGATCTAGGAGCCTAGATCTACCTCCCTTCAAAGCTCATGCTCTCAATGTCCCTGTCCTGTCGCCCCTTGAGCCCTCAGGCAATGCTTCTCTTGGCGAGTTAACTTTCAGATGTGGTGTCTCATTTCCAGCAAGGCTGCAGTGCGTCATCTTCTGGGACTTTGTCACTTCTTGAACCCCACGATGCCCTGCTTGGGCAAGACAGTCAAGAAACACTGAAGAGACAACAACTCACATCGAAGAAACCGATGTTGGAGTGTTTCAGTTCCAGTTTCAGCTTACTGTGTGGAGAAGAGAGAAGCATGGTCACTCCAGGCCTTGGCTAATACTTTCTCACACTTATGCCGTGGGGTGTGCAGTCCCTATGGGCAAGGGCATTTCAGGGGCTGGGCCCCCACCGGCTCCTCTGCAATTTAAGGCTTTCAGCATGCGCTGTGATTTAAGAAGTGGCATTAAAAAATAGTGTTATCTGAGCACCTTCAATAACTTGGAAGAAACTATGGTGACATAAATATTAACTGGAGAAAGTGGAATGTAAGAAGTAAGGCACTATATGTTTCCAGTTATATATAAATGTATAAAAAAAAGACTGGAAGGAAACATGAAACTTAAGAGTAATAGTCTCTACAGGGCAAGATTATGGGTGATTTTTGTTTAGACTTTTTAAATTCTCTTTTTTTTTATCTTGCCATGAGCATGGATTTTTTGTATAATATGGGAATAGGCAATAAAAATGGAAAGGAGGCCCTGGCTGGTGTGGCTCAGTTGGTTGGGCATTGTCCCATGCACTGAAAGGTTGCCAGTTCAGTTCTTGTGGGCTTGACTCCCCAATTGGAGCACATACAGGAGGCAGCCAATTGATATTTTGCTCTCACATCAATGTTTCTCTCTCCCCCTTTCTCTAGAGTCAATTAGAAATATATATTTTTTAAAAAAGCAGAAAAGAGAGGCACCACAAATGGTAATGGCAGGCAGCTGGCAGCCACTGGAGTGAAGGAAGGCAGAGGGACTCGGCACCTGGATTGCTGTCACTGTAAGAGCCAACACCAATTTCCCCATTGCTCCCTCTGGCTGCTGACCTGGTTCCCTTGTTCAGGAATTATAATAACCCTGGACAGATCTCTGCTTTCTGCTCATGGGGCAGAGTCATTTTGATAATTCCAGAGTAAATTATTGGGCGAGATCCTCTGCTCACTTTCCTGTCTCCTCAGTCTAAGCTCTTGGCTGTCCTTGACACTGCAGAGACCCCCCCAAGCCAGGTCTATGCATAAACTCAAATTCAGGGACCTCCAAAAGCTCACCATTAACTTCTTCCTTTTTTAAAAAAAATAAGTTTTTATTGATTTCAGAGAGAGGAAGAGAGAGAGAAAAACATCGATGAGAGAAACATTGATCAGTTGCCTCCTGCATGGCCCCTACTGGGGATCAAGCTCACAACCCAAGCATGTGCCCTGATGGAAAATCCAACCTGCAACCTACTTGTGCATGGGACGCTCTACCAACTTAGCCACACCTGCTAGACGAGCTTTTCTTTTCAAAGACCTCTCTTACGGAGATGTTCATTTGAAGGGGGTTAGGTGCTGTGGTCGGCAAACTGCAGCTCGCGAGCCACATGCGTTTGTTTGGCCCCTTGAATGTGGCTCTTCCTAAGCCTTAGGAGTACCCTAATTAAGTTAATAACAATGTACCTACCTATATATTTTAAGTTTTAAAAAATTGGCTCTCAAAAGAAATTTCAATCATACTGTTGATATTTGGCTCTGTTGACTAATGAGTTCGCCGACCACTGGGGCATTCTATCAGCCAACAGACATCTAAACCTGAGGCCAGGAATTTGTTCTTCTGATGAACCCATTGCACCTGTACCTCAGCAGGGAGCAGCAGCCAGAGCAGCTAAGACATGGGGCCCAGGTGAGAGCTCTGGACAGACAGTACCACTAGGGCAAGTGCCGACCACTGGGGGGCAGTATAGTCTCTGCTATCCAAAGCCCAAACTCTGATTAAATAAATACTTGCCTATTGATTGGGTACCTGGGCAATGGAGCAGTAAGCAGTGGCTTGGGGCACCTTTAATCCTCCATCCGAAATCTGCACTTTCTGATGTGTAATATTGACAGTGTTTCTCAATCTTATATGTAAAGTCCTTGCAAATACAGCTCCAAACCCCACCCTCTCCAACTGGACTATTGTTCCTAAGTACTCTCTTTTGCAGAAGTTTCAGCTCCTTCACTGGTGCCTATGAGGGGAAGTGAGGAGCCCATAATGATGGGGAACCTGAAGGTGACCTCTGGTACCTGACAGCTTTTCTCGGCTTCTGGCTTTTCCCCTGAGGCATTGTCAATGTGCATTTTTCAGAGGGGCCAGATTAGAGAATGTGACAGCCCCAGTGGAGACTCCTGTTTCCAAGAGGCAGCTCCAGCCCTATCAGTGAACCAGACTAGATGCTCTGACCACCCATTCCACACGCTCTGCTCCCCACACCCGTGGCCTCTTACCTTCCTGGGGTTAATGAGCCAAGGACCCTGCCGGAGCTCACACTGATGGTGGCGGAGATGTCAGTTCTCTAGAAAGCAAAAGGACATCACCCAGATTCTCAGACTAAGTAGGCATCATCGTGTTGGCTCCCAGTCCAGGAGACAAATCTCCAGAAATAGAAACCACGGCCAGATGTGGGACTGAGGAGGAAAGGGCAGCTACTCAAGGATTATGGACTGAGGATGCAGGATGTTGGTGGCTCCATAGCTAACTTTAAGAAAGGTGAGCTAAGATTTCTGAGGTGTCCATCATTTTAGAAAATTGCTGGAAGCAAATTCCAGCAGGACATAATAAAATGCAAGAAGTTCATCAAAAGGCTGATGAACCTTGGGACTTCAGCAGGGCTGAAGATCTGCACATATTATTGCCTGCTGCCAGGCAGCCGAAGGCAGTTCCCCCAACCTGATATCTTTTACTGTTTACCAAACCTTACCTTTGATATGTATATCTGCTTTGCTCTAGGGCAAAATGTGTGAAAAAAAAGCCCTGGATCCTGAGATTCAGGGAACTTAGTTACTAAAGCTAAGCCTCCCTTGGTTCCCCCCAAATGCCTCCCAAATTTATATTTCATGTCTAGTCTCTTTATTAATTTGCATCACAGCCCTTTCTCCAGATTCCTGAACCCTAGTAGATGCGGATAAGACCCCGGGAAAAAATTATTATTATTATTTTATTTATTTATTTGAGGGGGGATGGGGAGATAGAAAGAGAAATCCATTTGTGTGTGCTTTTGTGTTAATCCTCACCCGAGGACGTGTGTCCATTGATCTTTTTTGTAGAGAGTGCAAAGGAGGGGAGAAACATCAACATGAGAAAAACACATCAATTGATTGTTTCCCCCGCATGCAGCTGGGGGTTGAGCCTACAACCAAGGTACGTGCCTTTGCCTGGAATCAAACCTGGGATCCTTCAGTCCTCAGGCTGATGCTCTATCTACTGAGCCAAACCATCTAGGGCTGAGGTTTCCATCTTAATGGAAGCATCAAAAGGGGGCGAATAAGCACTGTCTGGTGTGGCTCCATGGTTAGAACATTGCCCCTTGAACCCAAGGGTCTTGGGTTTGAATCACGGTAAAGAGCATGTACCTAGATGGCAGGTTTTACTCTTTGTCCCTGGTCAGTGCACGTGTGGGAAGCAACCAGTCAATATGTGTGTGTCTCTCTCTCCCTAACTCTCTCTGAAAAGCTATGGGGAAAAAATATCCTCAGATGAGGATTAACACACACACACACACACACACACACACACACACACACACGAAACAAAAAAGAAGAAGGGGTAATAAGCCCAAACTAGACTCAGAGTATTCGAATTGGGAGACTGCCCCTATAAGAATGACTTTGGAGCAGTCTATCAAGGAAGTTCAGAGAATCTCTGAGCCCTTGTCAGATATATGATTTGCAAATGTTTTCTCTGATTCTGTGGGCTGTCTTTTCACTTTCTAGAATGGTGGTATCCTTTATAGTACAAGCTTCTAAGTCTGATGAACTCCGATGTACCTATTTTTTATTTTGCTGCTTATGCTTTTGAGTTGATCTGAGAAGGCTCTGCCTAACCCAAGGTCATGGAAATTTATTGCTATATTTTTTTTCTGAGAGTTTTATAGTTTCAGCTCACACAGTAGGTCTATGATCCTTTTGGAGTTAATTTTTGTGTTTGGTGGTCTGGCTTCATTCTTTTGCATGTGGATGTACAGTTGCCCCAGCACCATTTCCTGCAAGTCTGTTCTTCCACATTTAATTGTGTTGGTTCCCTTGTTGAAAATCAATTGACTATAAATATAAATGGGGAATTAGTTCTGGATTCTTAATTCTATTCCATTGATCTATATATCTGTCCTTGCACCAGTACCATACTATCTTGATTAATATAGCTTTATAGTACATTTTGAAATAGGAAAGTATGAGTTATGCAACTTTATTTTTCTTTTTCAAGATGGTTTTGGCTATTCTGGGTCCCTTGAATTTACATATGAATTTTGGAATCAGCTTGTTATCTGGCAAAAAATCCAGCTGGGATTTTGATAGGTGTTATGTTGAATCTATAAATCAACAGCAAGAGTATTGCTATTTTAAGAGTTCTTTAAATTTTATGTCTTCTTTAAAAATATAATTTGATGACTTTCATTTATAACAATTTAAATAGGGTTATGCTTTAAACAATTTTTTATAACAAACATAGCAGTGAGAAAGCTAAAATTTTCAACTCAGCTGGAGTGAATGACTTTTAAGGTTTCTTGAAACTCTGATATTAACTACTAGAGGCCCAGTGCACGAAATTTGCAGTCCTCTCACAGGCTGGATAGCGCTCCCCCTGTGGGAGCGAACTGACCACCAGGGGGCAGCTCCTGCATTGAGCATCTGCCCCCTGGTGATTAGTGTGCATCATAGCAACCGGTCCTTCTGGTCGTTTCACCTTAATGGTCGCTTAGGCCCGTGGTCGGCAAACTGCAGCTCTCGAGCCACATGCGGCTCTTTGGCTCATTGAGTGTGGCTCTTCCTAAGCCTTAGGAGTACCCTAATTAAGTTAATAACAATGTACCTACCTATATAGTTTAAGTTTAAAAAATTTGGCTCTCAAAAGAAATTTCAATCGTTGTACTGTTGATATTTGGCTCCGTTGACGAATGAGTTTGCCGACCACTGGCTTAGGCTGTTATATATAGAGGTATAGAGGCCCTGGAGAAGCCTGGCGTTCAGATCAGAATTGCAAGGCCCACTTACACCTCCAGTGGAAGTAAATAGCCTCCAGCATCTATCAGCTGTGCAGCCTCCTAGTCTCTCAGCTGAGGGAGGGGCTTCCACCCGTGACAGACATAACCCTTTGCTGCCCCAGCCGGAATCAGACTTACCGCCCTGAGTTGGAAGAGTGGCTTGCGGTTAGAAGAGTTGGGCAGGAGGGCGAATGCCTGGATGTTCATCACTGGCACGCAGGTAACATTTCCAGGGGTGAACATCAAGAATGGAGCTGATTCAGGTGACATCTCAAGTTCTAGCTCTGTATTGGGGTACAACCTGGCCAGCTGGAGAAAGAGGGCAGAGATTCAGGGGAGGGAAGAACACAAATGGAGGGACTCTGGCTCAGTCTCTAAGGGCCTGAAATCAGCAGTGGAAATATCTCAGGATGGAGAAACTTGTATTTTCCAGAACTCCTTTTTTTTTTCTAGATGATCAGCATAGCCAGGATCTCTCTTTATTCTCCCAGAACTCCTTTTCAATAGATGGCTGTGTGGCTGGAAAGGGCACTTGGGTTAAGTGTGTGAGATGGGTGAGACACCCCAATGGGCATGTTCCAGTAAGAATAGATGGTTGCCTAGCTGGTGTGGCTCAGTGGTTGAATTTCAACTTATAAATCAGGAGATCACGGTTCAATTCCTGGTCAGGGCACATGCCCAGGTCACGAACTCGATCCCCAGTGTGGGGCATGCAGGAGGCAGCTGATCAAGAGCCACGAAGTTTCGATCACACTGTACGTGCGCGCCCGCACATGGTATTTTGTGGAAGAGCCACACTCAAGGGGCCAAAGAGCCGCATGTGGCTCATGAGCCACAGTTTGCCGACCACTGGCCTAGGTCAAGAGGCTTGCCTTGTCCTCTATGATGAATAGGCAGAGGTCTTACCTGAGGAATCACAGCCCCTAGTGATTTGGTGTGCAAGCGATTTGGAAAGTTCAGGGGACTCTGCAGCAGAAGAAGCAGGGAGTTGCTTAAGAAGCAGGACATCGTGGTGATGAAAGGCGTGGTCTCAGAGGCCAGACAGCTTGGGTTCCACCATTCTTTAGCTGAGTGGTCGCTGAGAAACTCAGTTAGGTTCTGTATCTGTAAAATAGGGATGATAATAATGGCACTTGCTGTACAGGCTGTGCAAGGATTAAATGAGATAGTATGTGGAGAAAGCACCAAGTGCAGTGCCTGGAACATATTAAATGGTACTTAATAAATGTCTGTTACTGTTATTTATTATCTTTCAGGATGATCCCCTAAAAGGCCAATGAGGACTGATCACCACCACAATCTGGATTTAGTGAGCTTCCAGATATAGCTTCCCCCAAAATCTGTTTCTCGCCATCTCTTGTGGTGTCATTCTCTACCCACCTCATGACTTGCTGATCTTTCAGCTTGGGGAACCCTGCCTACACCCGTTCTTAGCCAACCTTCCATCATCTCTCCTCCCTCAAGATCCCCACTCTCCACCTGGGCAGCTCCTATAGCACTTATCACTGCATCAGCTCTGGAGCTGTGCTGCTCAGAACTCCCTTCAGGGGGGTCAGCAGAGAAGAGGGCAGCTAGCTGCCACTGCCTCACATTCAGGCCCACACCATTCACACCTGAGGCGTGCTCTCCCAGGCGGCTGCAGCCCCTGCGGCTGCAGCCTCTGCGGAGCATGGCTGGGGTGGTAGACCTGGAGAATTTTGTCAGATCATTGCCAGGATTTGAAGTGGTAGTATAAGCAAGAGACCAACAGGAAAGGGCGCTCCCCCACCCCCATTGTCCATTTTCCCCTGTGGCATGGCATCTTCGAGGGTCAGATGTACCAATGCAGATGGGCTGAGGGGTCATCTTATTGCCAAGGGAGCCCTGAACAAAAGGTCCCTGCTGTTCTGTGGCCTGAGGGGGAAGAGGTAGAGGAGAAAGGGAAGGGCCCCAAGTAGAAGAGTATTGAGTACTGAGACTGAAGAAAACTGTCTTCGAGACCTCCAGGAAGGGGTCTCATCGGAGGCACACGAACAGTGTCTTGGCTGAGGTTCCCCTCCTCCCCCACCCATAAGGAGGCCTCTGAACGGAAGTGTCTAGACTAGGAATGCTGATATGCCAGCCTCCGGTGGGAGTGGGGCGGGGCTTGAGCTCCTTCTAGAGACTGACAAGCACTGGCCCTGCCCCAGTATAATCGCCTGTGGTCAGGTCTGAAAGAGCACATGGTACCACATCGCATCGCAGTCTGGGGGCTCTCCCACCTCCTCCTCCTCCTCTCTTTCACCCTTCACAGGTGTTTCCCTAATAAAGCTCTTATAAGTCTAATGCTGTCTTGGCATCTGCTGCTCGGAGAACCTGTTCTCACACACCAGAGTCTGTCTGATTTTTGTAAATTCCTGCTAATCATAGCTAATGTGTATTGTGTGACAGACACAAGCTCTTTACAAGCTCTCATAGAACCCCTGGGGGTCCATGTGCACACGCAGGGAAACTGAGGCACAGCCTGGCTTGGCACTCATGTTGGGCAGGCTCCAAGTTCCACATTCTTCCCCTAGCTTCCGAGGACACCCCCCAGAGTGGGTCTACAGTCCCACTTGATGCTCTCTCCTGGACCCCCAGCCTCCTCCATCCCCTACTCACATCCTCATTTCGGATGGTGAAGTTCATGTGCCCAGCCTGGTGGTAAACCCGGCTGGCCGTGTTGAAGACATATTGGGACACTGCAAAGTAGGCCATGCGGTCATGCTGCTGGGGCAGCCTGATGGGAGGAGCATCAAAGGGGACTGGGGACCGCTGGCTTCGGCCAAAGAATTCACCCTGGAGACAGAAGGACATATCAGTCACCCAAGGTTCCATCCAGAGAGGATGTCAGGCAGAGACATCCAAAGCCTGCCTGGGGGAGGCCTCCTGTGCCTGGGGGAGGCCTCCTATTCCTGGGAGGTGGCCGGGGAAGAGGGGGTGGCGGGGGGAAGGGGGCACAGTTTCTCTCCAGAATGTGTGGTCAGGGGTCCTGAAAGATTCCCTCTGGCGCCACATCTAGGTCCTGACAGCTGCCTGAAATCCCCCTTTTGGTGGGGAGATACGTCCTGTGTTCACTCAGGCTCAGGACATAGGACAGGAGGCACAGCCAGTGGTGAAAAGCATGGACTCTGGGGCTTAACAGTATGGGTTGGAGCCCTGGTCTGCCACTTACTGACTCTGCAACCTCAGGCCAGTCACTAACTGCCTGTGCCTCAACTTCCTCACCTGTGAAATGGGGATGATGCTAAAAGTTCTTACTTCGTGGAGGTAATATGAAATTTAAAGAAGTTAATATTGAACAGCACCTGGGACATAGTAAGAAGCACATACATGTTAGTTAAAGAAATAAGTTTGGAGGGCGTGGCACTCCAGGGCCTGGCTCAACCCACGGGGGAGTTGTGGAGGAGACCGGTATGAAGAGGGGGTGCCCTGGTTTCCTGCGGCTGCTGTAATAACTTCCCTTAATCTTAGTGACTTAAATCAGCACAGATTTATTCCCTTACATTTCTGGAGGTCGGAAGCCTAAGCTCAAGATGTTATTATGGCTGGGCTCCTTCTAGAGGCTTCAAGGGCGAATCTGCTTCCTTCTCTTTTCTACCTTCCAGAGTCCCCTCCGTTGCATCACCTCTTGCTTCACTCCAGTTCATGCTTCCATTGTCACATTGCCTTCTGTCTCTTATCTGCTACCTCCCTGTTATAAGGATTTCTGTGATTACAACAGGCCAGGATAATCCTGTCATCAACACCCTTAATTTAATCACACCTACAAAATCCCTTCTGCCAGGTAAGGGAACTTTTTTTTTTAATGCTCACCCGAGGATATTTTTTCATTGATTTTAGAGAGAGTGGAAGAGAAGAGAAAGACAAAGAGAAACATCAATGTGAGAGAAACATATCGACTGGTTGCCTCTTGCATGATCTCTGACCAGGGCCCAGGCCAGGGAGGAGCCTGCAACTGAGGTACATGCCCTTGACAAGAATCAAACCCAGGACCCTTCTGTCCACAGACCGATGTTCTATCCACTGAGCAAACTGGCTAGGGCTGTAAGGTAACATTTACAGATTTCAAGGTATAGGACATGCCCATTGATCCCCTCCAGCCCACCCCCACCCCACTGCCCAGGCCTTCACCATCCTATTATCTGTGTCCATGGGCATATATATGCATACAAGTTATTTGCTTAATCTCTTCCCTCCTACCCTCCCCTGCCTTCCCTCCGAGATTCCACACTCTGTTCCAGGACATGGACATTTTAGAGAGCCATTCTTCAGTGTACTATAGGTGTGGGCAGATAGTGATAACAATGCTACCCTATATATGTGCTATGTGCCAGGCTTGTGTATGTGCTAAGCACTTCATACACATCTCACTTAATTCCTATGGCAACTTTATGGGGAAGACTATTACTCTTCCAATGTAATAGAGAGGTTAATTCTTACAAGGTTCCCCACCACATAAGGGATAGAGCCAGGATTCAAGCTCAGCTCTCTCTGGACTCCACAGATTTACCACGTTGGCTCAGAAACCTTGTCTTAGGTTTTGCTCTGAGTGCTGAGTATCACATCTGCCCACTGTGGGCCCTGGTCAAGGTTGTGGACTGACAGGCAGGTGGACTGGAGAGGGAGGGTAGGAGCTGACTCTGAGAGGTGGAGCTGATTTCCTGCCAGTCCTCAGCTCCAAGACCCTTTACCCACAACCCCTTACCCTGAAGGGCGTGTCCAGGCCTTGGGAGGTCACCTGGGGAGCTCCTACTAAACTGTAGTCAATGCCAGCAACCTCGTCAATCATCAAGGTGACTATGGAATGGGAAAGAGGCAGCATTGTGAACAGTGGCTAAACACAGTTGTGCAAATTCTATACTGGGAGCTCCTTTCACATGGACTGTAGCCTTTGGTGAATGGAAATGGGCTGGGGCATATCCATGTATCTTCTGTCACAGAGAGAGTACTTCATTCATTCATCCATTTGTTGATTCATTCATTCATTCAGTATTTACTGAGCATAAGTCCAGAGGAGGAAATAGTCAAGGAAATAAATGTTCAATTGCTAGTATGTTAGATGTTAAATAGAAGTCCATAGGATGGTGCCAGCCATATAACAGGGGGTAAAGTGACTCACACAGGGAGTCAGGGAAGACTTCCCAGAGGAGGCGTTGCTTTGGCTGAGATCTGAAGGAATAGCAGGTGTTGCCTGGTGAAGGGGGGTAAATGTGGAGGAAGGCACTGGCAGAGGGAATGGTATGTGCAGAGATCTTGCAATGTTATGGAGAACTGTATATTAGAGGGATGACTAGGGACCAGAGTGGCGGGC